GGGGCAGCCCCATATCTTTCCCCCTTCCCTCCACCCCCATCTTTAGCTTTACCATGTGTCAGCGAAGCAGGCACTCCGCTGTCAGAGGCTCCAGACCACCCAGCAGGTAAGAAAAAGGACAACTGGGGAATCTGGGTTTTGTTTTTGTGTGTGTGTGTGTGTGTGTGTTTTTTTTAAGACTAATCTGGTATGTTTTTCTTCAAACACCTACATATCACAACTCTGGTTAATACACTCTTCAAAATCAAAATCTAGTTCCATTTTACATCCCTTCCTAACTGTACAAGCTGGCACACCTCAATTCCTATTTCCATCTCCTCCCCAGGGGACGGGGGGTGGAAGAGGGTGCTTTCCCAAGGAGGGGTCCTCACTGCTGAAGGTGGTGGCTGGGTTCAGAGGAGCAGCGGGCTGGGTTTTGGCTGGGTCAGTGAGATGGGGAAGGCAGCCTATGGTGACTGAAATCCCACCTGTCCTCATCCTGACCTGGCTCATGTGGCCACCCTGACACATCGACCAGGGGCCAGGCCGGGGAGTGGACTGGATGGCCTTTGACCTCAGGGTGCTGAGCAGGAAGACAAGGTTGGAAGCTGGTTGAATTTAAAGCAAGATACATTATTGCTTGGCAAGCTGCTGCCTCCAGAGCTGGGGGTCCTCAGAGACCACCAGTGCCAGCCCCTCGGTGGACCTGGGGTGAGATTCAGACCCAGGGTAAGAGGTGGTGGGCTGCCATGGCCCTTCTGGGCAGGGCAGAGAAGTCAGACCAGTGCAAATAGAACAGGACATGTGCCTGAGCAGTGAGTGCCTTTCAAGGACTGGAAGCAAAATGCCAAGGCCTGTGATGCACTAATGGTGCTCAGCAAACCGCACAGGGTGTCAGAGGAGGGCTGACTGCTAGGATACAGGTCTCTCTGCTCCCAGCCTCGGGCCTGGATCCAGGGAAGACAAATACCTCTTCCCAGGGCCATTCTGTCCTCTCCATGCCCATCTCTGCCAGTCTCTTCTGGAATCCCTCCAGAAACCCCTAGACAGCCAAACATCCTTTCTATTACATCTTAGATCAGCCAAGGCCTGCCTTCCGGTACCTGGGGCTTCCAGGGGCTGCCCCGCGGTGAGTTTACAACAGGCCTCACTCAACCACTCTTGCTCCACCTCTAATGATGTTATTGCACGCCCCCTCTTCACTCCCCCCCCCCCACATTTCTGTTCTGCAGGCCAACGGCAGTAACCAGAGCCAGTGTCTCAGTGGCAACACCCCTAGGAGCACCCCCTCAGTCTGCTGCAGGAACTGAGTGGGTAGGCTACAGAGCTAGCGTGCAGCGAGTGAGGGGCAGCACAGCCTGCGGTCAGAAAGCCTGGCTTTGGAGTGTGAATCCAGTTCTGCCACTTATTTGCCTGGTGACCGTGGGCACGTGTGCCTCAGTTTCCTCGCTGGTGAGAGTGGAGGGTGAGAATCCCTGTCTCATAGGGTTGTCATGAGGATAACAGGAGAACATGTGGGTCAAGTACGAGGCACAGAGCAGGTGCTCACTTATTGGCAGCCATGATGCGGGCCAAATCAGAGGAGGCACAGGGAAGCCAGACCACGGCGGGCCACACTTCATACTTGGTTGTGACCCTTCTGAGCAGCCAAACTCTGGTGGGAAAATGAAACCAACTTCCTGACTGAGAAGGGAGCCAGGTCTCTAACTCAGTGTGCCGGGTGTGAGGACATAGGCCAGAGGCCCCTGAGCAGCGCAGCGAGCTCAGCAGGCAGAGAGGCAGTAGGCCCCCAGGCACAGGAATGGGCCCTGTGTGCCGCAATCAGACCCGAGGGTCTGGGGCTGCCTGCTTGGGAACAGTGTGTCTAGGAAGCTTTGGGAAGGGGGTCTGGCCATACCCTGGGGCGTTGGAGACCTCCACAAAGGGGGCAACTAGAACTGTGTGGGTGAGGTGCTGCCTAGGCTAGATCAAGACGTCTGCAGGGGGCAGCCCCAGAGTGGGGACAGCTACAGCAGGCTTTCTTGGCCCAGCAGCCTCTGTCCCTTTCCCTTGGGGAGCCAGGAATTAGAGCAGCAGCGGCAGGAAGTGTCATGGCTTCCTTGGTACCCAGGAACCTGGTCATTCCTGCCCCTGCCTGCCCATGGCTTGAGCGCACTGGCCCCTCACTGGGCCAACACACTGGGTCCTGACTCGAGCAAGCCCCTTCCCCCAGCCAGGCCCAGCCACCTTTGCAGCCTGCATTCCATGCCCATCCAGGCCCTTCCCAGCTGTTGACACTGCTGAGGGGCCTTGTGGGAGCTGATGTCATTACACAAATAGTGTCACTGCCATAAACCCAGCTAGTACCCCTTTCCCCTCCCCTGGAAAATGTCATAAAGAGGCTGGTTCCAAGTTTCCAAAAAGGAAACACTCTGGGAGGTTTTGCCTTCGCAGAGCCGCCTCCAACAGGCAGCTCCAGTATGAGGCAGTGACCACCCGGCTTGGGCTTCTCAGGGGTGTCCTTGGGTCCACTGTCCTCTGCATGGGCCAGAATCCTGGGCCTGCACAGAATCCCCAGCTGGGCAGGGGCAGGCACCAGCAGGGGCTTCCGCTTCTCTGGCTCCACAGATTGTAAACCCTTCACCCCACCCAGGAGGCCCAATTCAGCAGGTGGCAAAAGAGCTCACGGCCAGCATGGGGGATGCTGGTTGCACGGGCTGCTCCTACCACCCCCAAAGGCCTGCCCAGCCCCTTCAGATGGGTCCCAAGTTGTCCCAGCTAGGGGTCCTGTGACAAAAGAAGGGCCAAGGGAAAGGGAGGGGGGGGAATTTTCGGTCTTTTCTGTTTGGGGTGGTGGTTTGGCCGGGCTCTCTTGGCCCCTGCCCAACTGCGGGCCTGGGAATTCACAGTTCTCCTCACGTCCTCTTCTCCCTATAACCATCCACTGGCCGCCGCACCTGCGGCCCCAATTGTGCGGTTCTGCGCCAGTCCTTCGGACCCAGGTCGAGCTGCCCTGCCCCCGCCACAGCGACCCCGCCGGGCTCTAGGGAAGCCCGTCCCTGCTCTGGAAGGAGCCCGTGAGGTAGCTAAGTCTCGTCCTCATTTCTTCAGGGCCCGGCCTGCTGCGCACCCCTCCCCGCGCGCGGCTCCCGCCCGGG